TGAATCTACATAGTCAAGACATCTTCTCTCCTTGCACCCAAGGAGAGCACCACTCTTATCTGCCAGCCTCTTATCTGGAGTTCTGGGGAAAGGATGGTCAAGGGGAAAACAAACACTTCAAAAAGGAATTTTGAAAACTGCACACATACTTCATTCCTCTCATTGAATTGCAGTCTAGAAAGCAAGGTGATTCCAGGTTAAGAATCCAGGTGACACATCCGCACTTCTTTTTGGAGGGTGAGGAGGGCACACCTGGTAATGCAATTCCTGGCTCAGAAGTGATCCCTAGTGGTGCTAGGGGGACCTTATGCATTACTGCGGATTTCCCCTAGGTCTCATCTTTTGCAGTCACAGGCAAGGCAAGTGTCTTTCCTCCTGCACCACCTCTCCAACCCCTGCACTCCCACCCCACTCTTTCTAAGGTCAACTCTTACTTCCTCACCTCCACTTCACCCTCCTCCTCCTAAACAGGTTGGTTACCCACGGCCGACTTTTGTTAGCCACCTCTCACATTAAGCCAGCCCTCAATGTCCCTGGTTTTTTACCAGGGACTTTTTCCTTCAGTTCATCTAAACTGGACAATCTGTTCTTTTACCACAGACTGCCAACAGGCTATTGCCTGGGGCTCCTGGAGTCTCTCTGTCCTTTGTGAAGTAAGTGATTGTCAGTCTGATTCTTTAAAAACCATTTGCTATAGAAACTTAAAATAATCTTGACTGGGGGCTGAAGAGATAGTACTTTATTGGTAAGATGTTTGCCCTGCACACAGTTAACTTGAGTTTAATCCCTGGCATCATCAAGAATGATCTCTGAGCAAGGAGCCAGGAGTAAGCACTGAGAACCACTAGGTGTGACCCATAAACAAACAAAACCTTTACTGGGGATGGGAAGATTGCTCGGAGTCCGAGAGCTGGAGTTTGTCCTCTGTACCAGATGCCCTTTCTCTCCCCAGAACCAAGACTGAGGCCAGGTGCCCCTCTGGGCTGAGCATCTTTGCATCACCAGGCCCTGGCATCAAACCTCTGGTCTGCGCATGTGAGTGTTACTGGGAGTGACACCTGGGCCCCCTGAACACTGCTGGGGAAGCCCCCACAACCTTCCACCATCATCACTATGGCTAGGCTAGTATTTAGCAAATACTGTCTTCAAGTTCAAATCATACGCATGCTGTTCCTTTAAAATAACTCCCAGTTGAATTTCCTTTGAAGGCAAACCAGAATTTTTCCCCAAAATTATTTCTCAATACTTCCTAAAAATCAAATCTGACCGAGGAACAGTGATGTGCCATATTAGGGTTATGTGGCAGGGTGTGTCTTTCTGGAGTTGGCAGAACGCCTTAAAACTACACGTGGATGGAGACTAAATCCCTGTGCCTGATCTCAAGCCAGCTGTCCCCCAGGCGGTAGTGTTGGGGCCACCAGCAGAGCCCAGGCACGTGGTGGGGGGTGTTAGGAGGGGAGGATACAATAAAACCCCCAAATTAAAGCCAGAGGCAGGGCAAGGGTTTTAGATAATGGATTGTTTTATTTTTCGAATCATCATATCTAAATAGTTGTTGGGGAGTGGGGCGTGGGATCAGAAATGAGTGACTTTAGAACTGAGTGTTCCTCTTAGGTCAAATCATGGCTTTGGAGGTAAGGCTGGAATCCCATCTTTGGGTCTATCTGGTATTGATCTGGCCTGAACTGGCCCATCGCTCAGGTTTCTACCCCCCATCCCACGCCCCAGATGAAGGAGCACCATTGGAACCACCTGGGTTTGCTTTGCCCACTTTGCCCCAGTTGAAAGGAAAGGTATGAATTCAAGTGCTGCATATAAAAAAAGTCCCTTGTCAACTCACCAAACTGGCTCAGCTCAAACTTCAACGGAGACAACTTCCCTTCCTAGGAGATGTGGCCTAAAGGCATTTGCCCTTGAGTTCAACTCTTCTTTGAGGAGGCCCCGGACTCCCTCTGAAAGGACAGAGAGTATTTCCTTACTTTGGGAATTGAATAGAGACCTCCAGAGTAATGGATGGGATAGCTCTTCAGCAGAAAGTCTAAGCTAGTTTCTGTAGGAGGCGTGTTTGTATTTAAGAAATAAATGATCCCCAAATCCGGAAATGGAAGAGCAATTATCAAGAAGAGGTGTCGAAGGATTAAATGTGTTTGCTTTAGAATTTTTACTGATGCATTTCAAGTATTTGCTTCTCTCCAAGAAAAATAGGGACAGAGATTCTAGTATTTTTTTTTCTTGGTGGATATGTGTCTGTACAAATGATGTGTGATGTTTTATGAGAGGGTGTGAAAATGGGAAAGGACAAAAGTGCGAATTTCTAATATGTATATGTACTTGATGTATGTTCCATGTCTATGTTTGTATGTGTTTCTGAGTGTGAGTGCCAGCCAAACGGGAATGTGAGTCTATAAATGTTTGGATATTGGAAAGGTTATCCACCTTCAACGAAAGCCAATATTTTAATGAATCCCCAGATGTTATAATAAATAGCTTGATTTTCTTTAGATGAAGAAAGAACAGGCAAAACAGATGTGTTACGCCTGTGTGTTTGGTTGGTTAAATACATCTTTAAATGCAGAAAACACATATAGCTGTCCTTCAGCTAGGGGATAGATACATAGATTTTGTCTTTGTGTTTTGATTTTCTTTTTCGTAAGTGAGGAAATGATTACTCCTGGTATGAATGAGAAATTCAACCTTCCTCCAAGGAAGCTTCCGTATTTTTTTTTCTGCTGATTATGTGTACTGTTCTAATTACTAGAAGCTTGAACTTGAGGGGCTAGGGAGTTGAGGGTGATAGGTTATTTCCCCAAGAGTAATTGGGGGGGGGGGGGTGGTGGTGGGAGGGATACTCAGAGCACAAACTGTCAGGTCACCCTGTGCCGAAGCCCACCTCAGAGGCCCTTTGATGATCTCTGAAGTGACAAGTGTGGTTGAATGTGGATGAGGTGAGTTGCTGACAGGGGGCTGTGGTTTTCAGTAAAAACACTGGCCCAGTAGCTGGACCTGCTTAGAAACGTGCCTGTCCTGCTGGCTTGGAAAGAGCAGCTGCAAGTGTCCAGTAACCCCACCCCCACTCCATGCCTATCCCGCAGAAACTCCCCCCTACAAGTCCAGTTTCACAAATAGGAGCCAAGATCAAGGGCCTGCAATTTGGTTTTGTTGGCAGATGTGCCCAGCATGGATGGGTGGTGCCCCCCAAGAATCATGGTGGGGAGGGGGCAGTCGGATGGGTTACAGCCCACTTCAGGGGCCTGAGGATCCTCTAGCAGCAGGCCAGGGGCTCATTGTGCTCCTGGATGTGGACGGTGCGGGGGTCATTAGTTAGAGGATGATGTGAGCTCTTCGAGCCAGAGGAAATGGCCTGCCTTTGTTTTCCACCCAGTAGGAAATGGAACCTGAATCCATTAGATTCTGGGCCGTTCAACACAGGCACAGTTTGAGCTCTTGGAGGCTCGCCGCCTGAAAGGCTACTGGCGTGGATTTGTGTGGCTCAACTGCTGAGGTGCAGCCTGCCCAGCTTTTGCATTTCAGTCTGCCAGGCCAGTCATGTAAAGCAGAAGTCCGGGAGATGGGCGGCCCTCCAGCAGACAGGGGCCCAGTAGAGTGCACCTGTAGAGTCAGAAGAAAAAAGGCAGGATCCGTTTCCCTCAAAGAGGGACCTGGGAGCAAGTCCCTGGTACTGGAAGGTGGCTGCTGAGGCATCATCCATAATTCACGGGCCCGTGCTGCTCTATGCAGATGGCGGTATTAAACCGTGATTGATGCTAAGAGAGGCACACTGCGAAAGGCTTCTGAATATTTCCAGGTCTCTTGTGCCCTCCCATCTTGGTTCCACAGAGGTATACACACACACACACACACACACACACACACACACACACACACACTGGCCCAGCACCCTAACATTTCACAGGAACTTCTTCTGGGGTTTGCAGAGCTGCACACTCAACTATAGATGATTCTTCAAATGTCATCACCCACCTTTTCTGCCTTAAAACAAAAATCCCTCTCCCTCCTGGCCCATAAGAAGCTGTTTACCTCCAGCCGAGCAATCCTGGGAAGGGGGCGTGGGGGATGGGCTGCTGTTGCTCCTCTGACAGCATCTTTCCAGGCTGGTTGGCCATCAGAAGCAGCAGCAGCACACTCTGGTGGTGTTAGCCTGGCAAAAGTGACTGGGGTGGGGGTGGGGGTATGGATCACAGGCGTCCACTCAGCACAAAGCACTTTTGTCAAAACTCTGAGGTCAGAGCCAGTGGAATCTTCAACGCAGATTTTTCCACTCGGTGTATAACGAAATAATAAATCAAATTTGTGGTGTATGTGGAATTAAGTGTTTGGAGGTTTTGTTTTTTCTTTCTTTAAAAAAAAAAATAGCTGTAATCACCCTCTAGGGTCTGTTCCGATCCAAAGCTGAAAAGAGCTCCCTCTGCAGCATGGTTTGTAATTGTTACCAGCCTCTCTTGTGGGTCGGCACCACAAAACCACTATTGTCAGTTCCCGGAGCATTGGCTGCTGGCTGCTGCACCGCTGGGCTGGGCTCCGAGACACCAAATCACACACAGGATTTATGAGATCAAACTAGAGATGAAGGTTTGGAGGAGGAGGAGGTGGGGGGGGGGGGGGAAGGAAGGAAGAGGAGGAGGAGGAGGAGGAGGAGGAGGAAGGCAGGAGGCCTAGGCTAGTACTGACTTCATTTTTTTTTTTAACCTCAAAGCATGTAATTGGGAATATTTATGACCGTCTTCTGGAATATTTTCATTTAGGGTGTGTGTGTGTGTGTGTGTGTGTGTGTGTGTGTGTTTAGTTGAGTAAGTGGGGGCTGGGGGATGAGCTAAAATAATCTCTTCCACTGAATGAGTAAGGAGGTTAGTCTCCTGGACTGCCATAAAAGGTCTGGGACACAGTTTTAATCAGCCACTGATAGAAACAGAAACGAGGATAAGAGGGGGAAATGACTAGAAACATATTTGAAGTTCTTGGGGTTGTTGCTTCTCTTTCAGACCAACCCTGCGGAGGTCGCTTGAATTCCAAAGATGCTGGCTATATCACCTCCCCAGGGTACCCCCAGGATTACCCGTCCCATCAGAACTGCGAGTGGATCGTCTATGCTCCTGAACCCAACCAGAAGATCGTCCTCAATTTCAACCCTCACTTCGAAATTGAAAAGCATGACTGCAAGTAAGCGCTATCCTGTGTTACGTGTTACCCTGCATTGGAGTGACCCCCACTGACCCTCACCTCCCTCCACACACACCTCACCCTTCATGGCAACTTTGGCCCCCGGGTCCTCTGAAAGAAACCATGGTGATGCAGGCCCCAGAGGAGAACTTCAAAAGAACATTCTCTTTCAGGGGAAGGAAAGGCCCAGTTGATCCCCAAAGATCAGAGGAAGGAGCCTTCCAGGGGAGAGTGTAAAGAAAAAACAGCCTGCAGCAGGAGGGGTGGAGGTTGTAAGGGGTGTTGGGTGGGGTGAGGTGACTGAAAGTACAGCAGGTAGGGAGCTTGCCTGGCACACAGCTGACCCAGGAGCAGCTCCCAGCACTCCACATGGTCCATGGAGCCTCCAAGAGTGATTTCTGAGTGTGGAGGCAAGAGTAAACTCTGAGCCCAGCAAGGTATGGCCCCCAAATTTGACTCTCTGCCCTGTGGGATAAAATAAAAGAATAGCATTCTCTTTTTTTTCATAAACTGGTCATGAGTACCCCAGAACCCCATCTCTTGACTGGGACGTCTCCCCATATCCGGTGCTGCTCCCACACATCCATTGGAAGTCCATCAGTGTGGTTCATTAAGCAGTAGCCAGATCCCCTAGTCCAGGCTTCCCGTATGTCCAGCCATGCAGGATCAGCCTGTTCTTTTACAAAGTGGCAGTTGGTTTCCTTTCAGGAAGAGTTGAAAGTCTGAATCTCTAGGCTTTTACATCTACAGTTCGCCCTTGTTCTTGGTTTCTGCCCCAGACAAGCAAGAGGGGGGAAAAACTAAGTGTGGTGGATTTAGTCGACAAACGCTCTTCCAGTTTGGGGCTGGAGCAATAGCACAGCCGGGAGGGCATTTGCCTTGCATGTGGTCGACCCAAGTTCTATTCCCAGCATCCCATATGGTCCCCTGAGCAGTGCCAGTAGTATTTCATAAGTGCAAAGCAGGAGTAACCCCTGAGTATCGCCGGGTGTGACCCAAAAAAGCAAAAAAAGAAATGAGGGGAGGGGGCTGAAGCGATAGCACAGCGGGTAGAGCGTTTGCCTTGCATGCAGCCAATCCGGGTTCTATTCCCAGCATCCCATATAGACCCCTAAGCAACGCCAGAATTAACTCCAGAGTGCAGAGCCAGGAGTAACCCCTGAGCATTGCTGGGTGTGACCCAAAAAGAAAAAAAAATCCATTTTATTCTCATCATGGCCCTGGGAAGTTGGTGCCACTTGGACTTCCATATTGCCTTTGAGAAAAATTAAACAGAGATGTTAAATCTCTGCTGCCTCCCATCCCCAGTGACTGGGCTGGTCTCGAAAGAGCACTTTTTGACACCTTGGAAATATCTGGCTCAGAAGATACCATTTGGGCATCTAGACATTTGGGCATGCATGGGAAAGAGCAGGTCATCCCAGAGTGCCTGGGAGTATAAGTGGAGGAAAAGACAGTATCATGGGAGCTCCAGATTGTGAGCTCTCTTTATTCTAGTGGGATCCAAAGTCATTCTTCACAGAAGCAAAAGAAAGGGCCAGAGAGATAGTACAGCGGGTAGGGTGTTTGCCTTGAACACAACTGACCCAGATTAGATCCCTGGCATCCCATATGGTGCCCTGAGAACCACCAGGAGTAATTCCTGAGTGCAGAGCTAGGAGTAACCCCTGGGCATTGCTGGTTGTGACCCAAAAAGAAAAAAAAGAAAAAGAAACAAAAGAAAGTTTCAGTGCAGGAAAGAGTGTGCCTACAGTCATGGCTTCTTGCAAATGAGCACCTGCAAGGTGCCAGGGCTCCCATCTTTATGTGCCCTTAGGGTTCATCAATAAACAGTCTGAGCATCATCGGCCAGTGGGCAGAGGTTTGAAGGAGCAAGTGAGTCTCATGGAAAGTGCAGCCTCTCACACCCTTGCTGAACTAGAAGGCTTAGTAAATCCATGCCCTGGGGTCCTCTTGGGTCTCCTTTCTTTGCACTCAGAGAACAGTTTTTTCCTAGCAAGACTAGTTTATGGGAAACTGGAGCGTTCCTAAAGGTTCCCTCATATGACACGGAGTCATAAGACAGACTTTGTCATCCCAGCTCTCTCCAGACCCAGTGGAAGACTCCAAGTTCCTCTTTGTCGTGTTCTACACACACCCTAGCCTCTCATCCTTCCTGTTCCCCTCTGTGAGCTTCTGTGAGGACAAGAATTTCTGTTAAGATAGCTAGTTTCTTTATAAGGTGTTTTTGTGCCTCTGGCTGGGCTGGAGAAGGTTGGCACCAACTACAGCGTGATATACAGAGAGCTTGGGTCTGTCTGAGCTCTGAGAAATTTGACTAAGCACCTCTCTGGACTGAGGGCCAAATTCTGTTCTGCTTATGCCAGCATCTCCCAGCGAAGTTGCTAAGAGGTCATGTTATGTATATTCATCGCGGCAGAGAGAGAAGGCAGAGCTCTTGGCAGGGAAGACTTGGGAATTCGTGAACATGTCTCCAAACCTGTTGGGAAGTAAGAAAGGCCAGAAAAGCATGTTCCTGCCCTGCGAGGGGCTGCTGGGGACCATGTCCCCTCACGGGACTCAGCTCCAAAGATGGGGGTGCCAGACCTTGGCAGTAAGAAGGACAGAGACTTGCCTCTTGCAGGGAATTGGAGCAGGGAGAGCCAGAACTTGTGTTTTGCTTGGAAACTTTTACAGGTTATCTTCTGGCTCCTTCCTAAGGCGCTCCCTGTCTCTCTCCTGCTTCCTTCATTCCATGCTGCAGAAGTCAGGAAGGTCAGGGGAAAGCACCTCTTTCTAAAGTCTCTTTCCCCTAGTTCCAACTTGTCAAAAAAGCTCTCTTGCTCTCTTGCGATCAAGACTCAACTACTTAACCTCATCCTTAGTTCCCTCTCCTCCCCGTTTATCTCCTCTCACATTAGTTTCTTTTTTCTTTTTTTTTTTTTCTATTTAGAAAGACATATCTGGTTCTCTCCAACTGTCTGCAAGGTATTTTTCACAATCCCGCCCCCGCCAACCCTGACCATTTGCACTCAGAATAAGGGTCTGCGGCTCCTCTTCCCCTACCACCTCCCTTCCCTTTCTTGTGAAAGAAACAATTAATCTAATTGAAGGTCCTGGAAGTTCTGTCTCATTCCTCCTCTCTTGCCCTCTCTCATTTTCCTTCCAAGGCAGCTCCTGGGTTTGGAAAGCGCTTAATATCAAAGGAAATCAGCTTCCTTTCTCCTTTGAATTTGCGTGCATGTTTTGAGTTGATTTGGCCCTCCAGGCCCATAGGGTGGATCTGAGAAAATTACCTAAACTGTCCTGAGGATCAAACACGGCAGCAACACCCCTTCAAAAAAAACCAAAAGCGAGAAAGTGAAAAATTAATGAAAGTCATCCCCAGAGAGGATGGAGAAGGGGCTGTGGTCAGCTGGCTTTACCTCTTTCTCCTGGGTGCGGGGTTCCTGACCAGGCTTTCCCCCTGATCTGGGAAAGGGACTGAGATAGAGGATGGTTCTTGTGAGCAGAGACCCTCATTCCTTAGCAGGAAGCATCCCAAAGCTCAAGGTCATTGCCGAAGAAAACCCAGACAGACATTTTCCTCTAACCTTTATTGCTTGTTAATTTTGTTCCATTTGAACTTGTGTTTTGCTTGGAAACTTTCACTCAGCAACCTCAGCTTTGTCTGAGTCAGTAAGACCCAAAGCTCCCATCTGGAGGGGGCTCTTGGTCTTCCAACCTTTGACCGACTGCAAGAATCCCAAACCCCCCAGGATCTGGAGGCTGCTTTGGGCACGCCCCCATTTCACTGCCATGTGGGTATAGTCCAGGGACAGAAGGGCAGGCCCTCGGGCCATCTGGGCAAGCAGGGAGCAGTGCCTTTGTTCCCTGTGCTGGTGAAGAAGCTACTGCTGCCTTTCGCTTGAGTCATCAGCCAGCAGCTGCCTGTTCGGGTTTTGGAAACACACACACACGATGTTGGCTATTCTTCCCTTTTCTGAAATTGAAAATGTATGCATTCTTAAAAAACACCCACTTGCCCACGGAACACAGTTATTCCAGGGCCTGGCACCCCACCCCCGCCCAGAGGCACCACCAAATAAAACCAAACATCAGGAATCTGGGTCCTTTCAAGACTTGGCCTTTTCCAGATGGGTATCTCGACAGACATGTTTCACGAAGTGCAAAAACCACTCGGAAGACTTGAAAGAACATTTCTTTGGCTACAGAAACCCATGGGGGAGGCTGAAAAGCATCAAGTTTATGTGTGAGTTCAGCCGGATGATACCTCATGTCTGGTGTAGCCCTGAAGAATTATTCTATAACTCAGTGAGATTTGCCAGTGCTAAAGCATCGCCTCTAAAATTTCAAAGTCATTTTTTAAAAAAAGGATTTCTGGGGCATAGTGATAGTACAGTGGCTACCCCGGGATACAGCCTGACCCAAGTTCCACTCCCAGCACCTCATGGTCCCCTGAGTACCACTCACTATGGCTCTGGAGTCCCCTGCACTGCAGGTAACTAGCAGCTTCCATGCTTGTGCCCTTGACCCAGTTGGCTGGGAATCAGAAGTGCCCCTGCCTCCCACCCTGGCTTCCTGAGCACTCCTTGGACGGACACCGTCCGCCCTAAAAAAGGGATTTCTTCTGATAAAGCTTTTGCTGACTCATGAGCCACACTTCCCCGTTGTTTTCAGCAAACTCGATGCTAAGGAGAGCCAGATTTTTCTTGATGATTCAGGCTTCTCTGTCTAAACTCTGCCATGGAGGCTGGGTCATGTCCGGTTTGAATCAGATAGATTTGAATTCTTGTTGACTTTTTGGCATTGGCAAAGACTGCTTCCTTACCTACAAAACTGTGATAATTATAACCTTCTTTGCAACGCTGCTGTCTTGTGGATAGAGTTGTGCAAAAAATTAGCTGCTGTGTCAGTTTCTTATTGTTTGGAGGTATTTTTGTGTGTAGAGGGTGGCATGGGGGCGGACACACCCAGCAGTGCTCAGGGATCACTCCTGGAAGTACTCGGAGGACCAGATG